TCAACGGCAAAAAAGCAATTAAAACGTCACAATTTTAACCACTCTTCTTTAACTCACACTGCCGCTTTACGTCTTTTCCATTTTTTAAATAATAAAATAAACACTAGACTAAATTTGTCACTTGTGCGTTCTTCGGGTCCTTCGTGGGTTTTGCTTTTCTTAGTTACTTACGTGCACATTTGCCTTTCAGTAACAGAATATAAATTTTAAAAAAATTTCCTGAAAAGCTTTTCTGAAAGAAGGATTACTCATTCTCGCACCTGCTAATTCCGCTTTGTGTATAAAAAGGATGAAGAAGACATAATCGAAGGAACCTGTTATATTTTAAAGGCTTTTTAAAATCTCTACTTTTCATACACAAACAGCACAAATTATTGAATTTTTTTAACTAAAGAACGCGTAATTCTGACGTCGATAAGCATAAAAAACTTAAGAGAGAATCGATATAAGCATCGTTTTAATTAATCAGTTGGTTGAAAGGGCCACTGTTCATGTCAGTGTTAAAAATGTTTTAAATGTTACAAAGAAGGAAACATAATCGAGTGCTCTAACTTTAGCACACAATTGAGGCACATATTGTTGAATCTTTATCTTAAAAACACTAAATTCTTGTTTCGATAAACCGAACACGGCTAAAATCACCAGTCGGAAGAGAGAATCGACTAAAGCATCACTGAGTGTAGGTTTTTTTTTACCGGCATTTTGTTCCAAGGGCCTATTGTAAATCAAAACAGATAAGTTTCACGCACATCATAAATAAATAGATAAATAAATAAATAAATAAAAGTACAAAAGTCATGCAAAACAAAAATAAAAAGGCAAGAGAGGAAAATATTTACCCTCTAATAAATTGAGTATGGTTGCATGGAAATTAAACCAAAGAAGAGCAAATTTGTCTGAGAGTGTCTTTCACCCGTTTCACCGCTTGTCTGACTTCTCTGATCTTCCAGCAGTACAACAACGGGTTTAATGACGAGTTTAAGCAAATGACCGTAAACCCAAATTGTCGAGAAAGGTAATTATGTAAAGTTAATTTCCCTTGAGGTGTTAGAAATACCGCGACAGCGTACGGAAGATAACAAACAACCAATGTTACTTGTATCCACAATGCACTTGATACTGCCTTTCTGTATCGAGCCATGTTCAGTGGAGTTACTTGGGTTGACTGTGCTTGCCACATTTGTTCCTGTGGCTGAATTGAATTGTAACGCAGAGTAAGGAAAATTTTGGTATAAGAGAAGATCGAGGTGACGAGACATAGTAATGTAACCAGGTTGGCCCACCAGGAAGTTACAAGCGCGTTCACAATATNTCTTTCACCTGTTTCACCGCTTGTCTGACTTCTCTGATCTTCCAGCAGTACAACAACGGGTTTAATGACGAGTTTAAGCAAATGACCGTAAACCCAAATTGTCGAGAAAGGTAATTATGTAAAGTTAATTTCCCTTGAGGTGTTAGAAATACCGCGACAGCGTACGGAAGATAACAAACAACCAATGTTACTTGTATCCACAATGCACTTGATACTGCCTTTCTGTATCGAGCCATGTTCAGTGGAGTTACTTGGGTTGACTGTGCTTGCCACATTTGTTCCTGTGGCTGAATTGAATTGTAACGCAGAGTAAGGAAAATTTTGGTATAAGAGAAGATCGAGGTGACGAGACATAGTAATGTAACCAGGTTGGCCCACCAGGAAGTTACAAGCGCGTTCACAATATACATAGTTGCAGCGACAGTGGAGCAAGCCCAGAGGATTAGCATAACAACATATGTTTTCTTCAAAGTTACAATCTGTCTGTATCTGAGCCTCAGTAACAGGGCAAGAAGTCTATCAATGCTTATTGCAGTTAATGTCAGTAAAGAAACTGAGCACAGAACACTGTTTATCATAGATGATAAGTGTAGGGCGTAGAAACAAATATCCCATCGTTCCATCGCCTCAGATATCCAATAAGCAGTGCTAAAAGGTCCCACGATGATACCAACACAGAGATCAGTTATCGCTAGGTTACGATACAGGAGTTTGGACGGCGGATGAAGTGAAGATTCCTTGCGCAGAGCAACTAGAATCAGAGTATTTCCCAGGAATGCGGTAATGGACATGAATATATTTATCACAGCAAGAAATATTAAATGGATGTGTACCCTTCCAGATAACTCTGCTGAGCAATATAGTTGTTCATTCGTTTTGGGGTTTTCTTCTCCAGTTGCGTTTGTTAGCATTCTGTTGTTGCGTTTTGAGTAAGCCGTGTGGTTTTCTAATAACAGCAGCTGTTTTATTTTCTAATATTGCGAGCCTATTTGACCGCAATGCAAAATCTTAAGGCGCATGCCCGGGTTTCGAGTAGGTTCAATTGGTCTTTTGCAATTGGTTTTTCTTCTGAACAAGAGATTAGCTGGCATAATATGTTAGTATATAACTATTCATCCCTTGAGGGTCTTTCAGGGATAATTTACAACAAAAGGGAGTTGATGAGTAATTAATACTGTCAAATGTGAATGTGAAATGAGATTGACACCAGGGTTGGTCAATGCTAGAATTTTGTGACTTTCCTTTTTGTCCTTTTACCATGTTCTTCAGTTGTTAGGTTGTGTTCACACTATACCAGATAGCCTGCGTAGCCCGAGAAAACAGCCGTCATTTGGCTACGCTACCACTGGTTTCCCCGCCAAATGACGTCTGAGAAACGAGCGCAGAAATTCCATACTGATGACGCGTCACTACCCAGATTTCGGTGGTGCTTCTGATTGGTCCTGCCACGTGGGAAATATGATTCAACCAATCAGAAGCACTACGCAGATCTGGTTAGTAACGCGTCATCAGTATGGAATTTCTGTGCTCGTTCCTCAGACGTCATTTGGCGGGGAAACCAGTGGTAGCGTCGCCAAATGTCGGCTGTTTTCTAAGGCTAATAGCCTGCGTAGCAGAAAGAGAGCAGTAGCCAGGAAAAAATATGGACTGAGCCAATATCCATGGTTGAATTCCCCGCCTAGCTATCTGTCTTTATTCGGATGACTACGTTTAAACAAAACACTGGGATAAAAGGTTGGAAAAAAAATAACTGACTGAGGCAAGTGCCTCGGTTTATCTCATACTGGCTACGGCCCTGAGGCAGCGGTTTTTTTTAGAATACCTATCGAGCCTATCGCAATTGTGACCCTCCAATTTTAAAATCGGCGCGCCTTATGTGAGAACAGAGGCCCAGGCCCAATCTGGTATGATTGCCGCGCCGGCGCAAAAGCTATCAGGTATATAGTGTCAATGTAGCCTTAGAACAGACGATTATAGCATCATCAGGTATTTGAACAGTAGTTTGCAATTATAGTCTTAACTGTCTCTCCAGTGTTATCTGCCACTGAGGTAATTAGAAGCTGATTTTCAATTTATATTGAAGCTGAGTAATCAATGGTAAAAAAGCATTTTAAACGTCACAGTTTTAACAAGTCTTCGTTAATACATACATGTTGCTCACAATGCGGCTTTATGTAAGTAAGAGATAAAGCCCGAGAACGGAGGTATTAAGCCATATACATCCCGAGGGCCGTAGGCCCGAGGGATGTATATGGATTAATACCGACGTTCGAGGGGTTTATCTAACTTATTTCATGATATTATTCATGAGGTATAGGTTACATAAAGGTCGTCTTTCACAGGGCAATAATTGGCCACTTGTTTTTGACATCTGTTTGTTTGTCATTTTTTGATCCGACCGCAGACAATGACGTATTTCATTGTAAGTATTGTAAAGGTTTTCACACAGCATCGAGAAAGGGCGTTTCACGGGTCATAATTTGTTCAAACCACTTGTTCTCACTTAGGTGAGAAACGGAGAACAATAGCGCATTGTTTGTTTGCTAAGCCGACAACAATCAAATTTCAAACCTTTTGTGTTTTTTTATTTTTGTCTTGGTATTTTTTGGGGGGCCAGTACACTTGTGAGAGCGGCAATGGATAGTGACGACGAAATTTTCCTAACGCAAAATACTTTCTCTCAGGAGCCTTTTTCCCCTGAGTTGAATTTGGAAGAGTTAGTGGGAGACTTTAGAGAAGTAAGCGAACGAGATAGTGTTGAAGTCGAAAAGAAAGAAAATCCTGGGCGTAATATCGTTGTTGTTTGTGATAACGAAGTCGAGAAGAGAAGAGAGTCCAGAATACCGGCAAACACGAAAGTTAATACTTCATGGGCGGTACGTTGCTGGGAGGAATGGGCCGTCGAACGCAATGTAAAAGTTAAAAAGAATAGCAGCAAAGAGAAATACTACGAAGTCAATCCTGACATTAAGAAAGTCGCTAATGAGCAGCTTGACTACTGGCTTGGGAAGTTTGTTTTGGAAATTCGGAAGAAGAAAGAACCTGGAAGCGTGTAAGTGACGACGAAATTTTCCAAAGACTTAAAATTTTCTTAGAGTGAACACATAGCCTGCATGATATATGGGATACTACTGTATTTTCTATAGTTGCAGAATAAATTTCTATATTTGTGTTAGAGGGAGAAATTTTCTCAGAATGTTTGGCGGGGTCAAAGGACGTGTATGATTTGCTTTAATTGCTCATTATAAATGGAAGGGATTTATTTGTATATTGCCCAGGGCAGCAGGGCAATATACAGATAAATACCGGGTATTTATATAGATATTGCCCTTGCATTTATAATTAGCAATTTATTCAATTCATCAGCCCCGCTCTTCCCTGCTACATTATCAAAGCCCTCCCCGGACTTTCAGTTAGTTAAATATATAAATACACATACATATAAAGGAGAGAATTTACATGGCATCGTTTTTTCATTAATAAAGGGTCACTGTTTATTGAAAAAACGCAGGAGAAGATAAGCTTCAAGGAATGATAAGAATATGAAAAGCACATAAATTAAACAAACGAACAGAAAATATGTTTGAGTGTGTCTTTCACCGCTTGTCTAACTTCCTTGATCTTCCAGCAGTACAACAACGGGTTTAGCGACGAGTTTAGGGATACAATAGTAACCCCAAATTGTCGAGCAAGGTAATATGGTAAAGATAATTCTCCTTGGGGCGTTAGAACTACTGCAACAACATACGGAAGATAACAAACAACTAATGTTACCTCTACCCACAATGCACTGGATACTGCCTTTCTGTATCGAGCCATGTTCAGTGAATTTGCTTGGTTTGACTGTACTTGCGAGGCGTGTGCCCAGTGTGGCTGGACTTGGTTTTTACGCAAAGTAAGGAAACTTTTGGAATAAGAGAAGATCGAGGTCAATAAGCAGAGTATTATACCTATGTTGCCAATCCAGGAAGTTACAAAAGAATTCACAAAGTACATTGTTGCAGCGACGATGGAGATAGCCCAAAGGGCTGTTACAGTTACATATGTTCTCTTTAAAGTTACAACTTGTCTATATCTGAGCCCCAGAAACAGGGCGAGAAGTCTATCCACGCTTACCGACGTTATCGTCATCAAGGACACTGAACAAAGAATAAATCCTGTGACATACGCAGAGACCCAGACGTAACGACAAGTACTCCATCGTTCTGTGACCTCAGATATCCAATAAGTCACATTAAGAGGTTCCAAGATGACACCAACACAGAGATCAGTTATCGCTAGGTTACGATACAGGAGTTTGGACGGCGGATGTAGTGACGATTCCCTGCGCAGAGCGGCTAGAATCATAGTGTTCCCCAGAAATGCAGTAATGGACAGGAAGATATTTATCACAGACAAAATTATTAAGCAATTGTTCACCTTTCCAGCCGCCAGTTCTTTGGAACAATAAAATTGTTCGATCAATTTGTAGTTTCCTTTTCCAGTTAAGTTTGTTACCACCATTTTTCTGCAATTTGAGTAGATTTTCTTGTACGAGCAACTGTCCTACACCTCAAACGTCCTTTGACATAAAATTGACCAACAGCCAGGTGGTACGTTCTCGGTTTGTTTAGCTTCCTGCTCGACGATTGTTTGAAATAATGTAAATTCTTATGACGTGGCAGACAACATCGCATATATAGATGGAAATATTATGGGCCAACCGAGTTTGCCAGCCGCTAAAATCCACGTGCGATCTGCGTGCTGTGCGCGCGACAAAGTTTGAAACCTCGCTTTCGCTAAGAGTAAGTCACAATAGTAGGTTAGAGACTTCCATTGATAAGTTATGAATGCTCTGTAATTTGAATGAAGAGAAGAGAGGCGTTCTAAGCTTTGTAAATGAAAGGGGCACCATTTGTCAATGAAAGTAAAACCTAATGATGCCGTTTTTGTATCGGGGGTATTCCCAGCTGTACATGTAATGGACAGAGATATGTTTATCACGAAACTAAGGCTGCTTAATTTTCCAGTTAATTCTACTGAGCAGTTATATGCTGTGTTTAATTTTAGTTTTCTTGCGTCTAGTGAACAGTAATGTACCGTAATATCTGATAATAATCATAGAACAAAAAAATTGAGGCTTATTACAAATTAAATTATAGACAATGTTGTTGGCAACTCACGACAGTTCGGCTCATTACAAATTACTACTTTCTATAACGTTATGTTACAATTTACGCTAGCCCGGATATTATAATCCTGGACAAGTGTTATTATAGCTAACGACAGATATCACAGTTATTGTAACTTCAGTTCGAATTTTTTCTCAAAGGTACACAGTTCCAACAGAGTTGGATTGTGAAGTCCAGTCCGGCTCACTGGGATTCCCATTATTTAACAGGTGATGCAAACAGCTGACAGAGTCAGATTAAGTGAAAGTACAGCTAAGCTCCATGCAAACGGACGCAACATTGTTGGATATTACATGTTGAATGTTGATTGGAGTTGTTGCGCAAGGTAATATGGCAAATGTGATTCTGCTTTACGAGTTAAAACTACCGCAACAACATACGGAATATAACAAACAACTAATGTTACTTGTATCCATAATGCACTGGATACTGCCTTTCTGTATCAAGCCATGTTCAGTGGAATTGCTTGTTGACTGTGCTTGCGAGACGTGTTCCCGTGGCTCAATTTGGTTGTTACGTTGAGTAAAGAAAATGGTAGAATACGAGAAGATCGAAGTGATCAAACAGAGTATAGATTGTTCCAGCGACAGTGGCGCCAGCCCAATGGATGGTTATGATTGCGTATGATCTTTTCAAAGTTACACTTTGTCTATATCTGAGACCCAGCAACAAGGCGAGAAGTCTGTCCACGCTTAATGCAGTGACTGTCATCAAAGATAGTCTGAACACAGAATAAAGCCGATAGCATACGTTGAAACAACAACGTAGCGACAAATATCCCATTGTTCCATCGCCTCAGATGTCCAGTAAGAAACAGAAAGAGGCTCCGCGATGATACCAACACAAAGATCAGTTATCGCTAAATTACGATACAGGAGTTTGGACGGCGGATGAAGTGAAGTTTCCTTGTGTAGAGCTGCTAGAATCAGAGTATTCCCAAGAAATGCAGAAATAGACAGAAAGATATTTATCACAGACAAAATTATTAAAAAATTGTGCACCTTTCCGGCCGCCAGTTCTTTGGAACAATAAAGTTGTTCGAACGTTTTGTAGATTCACTTCTCCAGTTAAGTTTGTTTCCACCATTTTGCTACAGTTTGAGTAGGTTTTCTTGAACGAACAACTGTCCAACACCTCAAACGCGTCCTTTGGCATAAAATTGACTAACAGCGCAGGTGGTACGTTCTCGGTTTGTTAAGTTTCCTGTTTAGCGATTGTTTAACATAATGTAAATTCATGCCATGGCCAACACCATTGGATATGGACATAAAAATAGGGCCAACCGAGTTTGCTAGCCGCTATAATTGACGCACGATGAAATTATAAACCTCGCTTTCACGAGTACGATGCGCCTTTGGGGGGTTCGCTTTGCGAGCTAAATAAGTCACAACGGTAGCTTAGAGACTGCCATTATTGAAATGATTAGTGCATGAATGCTCTGTAATTTGAATGAAAAGAGGCGAAGCGTTCTGAACCTCGTAAAAGGAGGGCTACCATTTGTCAATAGAAGGTATACAAAAGGGGTATCTTTCCTGTCACAAATCGTGCATAAAGGGTAAGGGACCTCGGGGCGGAGACTCCCCGTCTAGAACTTTGTTGAGTAGCCCCCCCCCCGCCTCTTTGTGCCCTTGTCCCTCAGTTAAGTCGTTTCTCCAGCCCCGTCATGCCGATCCACATTCTAAGGACCAACCGAGGGAACTTACCAGGTCGCGGTCAAACTTTTGAAGAGAATTTTATTCTGAGTATACAGTCAAACCGTCTTCATAGGGACACTAAATGGACCGAGCCAAGTGTCCGCAATACAGGGGTCCCTCCCTTGATCGTTCATTTGTCTTCGTTAGACACTATTGTGTTTCAATCGCCTAAACAAGGTCCCAATTTTCACTAAACAGAGAACATTATCAGGGGCGTAGCGAGCCTATAGGCCCGTAGGCCCGTAGGCCCGCGCCTACAATTTCTTCTGCCCGATTGGCTTATTTATATTAATTATTCTTATAAAGTCAAAAATTAAACTTTCTTAAGTGATATACTTTCAACTTCAGAAGGTATTCGACAACTCCAGAAAAGTGAATAGTCTTGAGATGGAAAACGCAAGGAAAGTACATGATCCGTCGGCCACCATTAAATCGTCGAAAAACTACTATATTGTCGTCCACAAGAGTTCCCAAATTTAGTGTGGGCATTCACAGCACTTCTAACTTCATCTGCAGAGAGTTCTTAGAGTGAGAGTGCATTGAGAAGACTGAAAACTCGCTTGAGGTCAACGACGAAAGAACTGAGATCGCCCGGGTGGACATAAGGATGATGATTAAATCCAACCATCGCATTGTCGTGATGGAAGCGTGGTCTTCGAGGAAGACCGAGTGCACTTTTGCCAAGAAACTAGTATCTACTAGAGGTCTATTAGCCACTGAACTGACTAGCTGAGATGTTATGTGATATTTTATCTCAGAGACGATGCTGTGCCAATATTAATGTCACTTTGGTTTCTGATTTCCTTTGATTGACGAGTCAGTAATTTGTTTGGTGGGAACATGATTGACATTTGTAAATGTTTTTGGATAGAGGATTATCGTCAGATATTTTCCAATAGTACAACAACGGGTTTAATGACGAGTTTAGGAATAGAATTGTCGAGCAAGGAAATTTGGTAAGGGCAATTCTTCTCGAGGCATTAGAGCTACTGCAACAAAGCATGGCAGATAACTAACAGCTAACGTTACTTGTATCCACAATGCACTAGTTACTGTTTTTCAGTGGAGTCGCTTGGGTTGACTGTGCTTGTTAAACGTGTTCCTGTGGCTGAATTTGGTTGTGAGGCAAAGTAAGAAAAAATTTTCGTATAAGAGAACGTTGAAGTGACGAGACACAGTAATGTACCTATGTTACCCCACCAGGAGGTCACAAGGAACTTTACATGGTATGCCATTATTCCTAGGACAATGGAGAAAACCCAAAGGATTGTTATAGGACTTATAGCTTCTTATGTTTGTTTCAAAGTTACAACTTGTCTGTATCTAAGCCCCAGCAACAAGGAGAAAAGTCTGTCAATGCTTATTGCAGTTATTGTCAACAAAGCCACTGAACACAGAATATGGCCTGTTATATATGTCACGTCTATGGCATATCCACAAATAACCGTTCTATAGCCTCAGATACCCTATACAAAGCAGCAATGGGTTCCCCAATGATACCAACACAGAGATCAGTAATCTCTAGGTTACGTTACAAGAGTTTGGACCATCTACCTGTCAAAAAATTCCTCCAATGAAAAGCCCCCTAAAAGCTTGTATTGAAACAAGACCCAAGTGGGGGCCCATTGGGCTGCCGATTGCGCGGTTTTAAGCCGGGTCTGTATAGTGACGTCTGCCATTATGAATAAAAATAAGCAAGTTAGCCTTATGAACTAAAAAACGATTGGCATTATTTATAACTGGGGCATTTCCACAATACACCCCCTCTGCCACCCAATCTCAATCTCAATCTCAATCTCAAATCTTTATTTTAACACGGTAAAAATTCATCAGGTTTTTTGTTACATATGAAGTATAAACTACATAAAAATATTTAATAATAATAAATACATATCTAAAGAGTCTCTTAAAAATACTACTCAAAATTACACTAAACTATACCTGTTTTCCATGAATGCCGTGTATCTAATTTAATTAACTAAAATATAGCATGACAGTACAGCGTGACTTATGCGACTTATTGTCGTTCTACTCTTATAAAACGTGACAAGGTCAACCTTTGATTTTTTAAATACTGTTATGTAACAGAAATATTCTGTTTCTAAAAACTCGCAACGCAAATTAAGTTTCAGTTTTATTTCTGTTGGATATTACATTTCAAATCCTACTAACTATCCAAGTGAACCAGGAGCCCATCAAATGGAGCCTCCATCTCCATTAATTTCTTGAGTCAACCCTTTCCCGAGTAGATTTATAAATAGAACGGCTTGTTTCCCGCGAAAAGTGTCATATTTCCGTGAGTCTCGTATCTCACCGTGAGAAAAATTAAGTTGGATGAAGTCGAACTCAGAAGCCCGTCTTTCGACCGTTTTCTTTTTTTACTATACGTCCATTTTTACAGTTTTACAGCCGCTGGGATCTGGGATGAAATAAAAGTTAATGAATTACCCGACTGAGACTGAGCATGAAGCGATGGGACAAAGGCAGCGAACTGAGGATCACGGAAAGGTTCTTTGCGAGTGTTTGTTTTTGTTTTTTTTTTTGCCGTCATACATCCCACATTTAAGCATGCACCTTGAAAAGAGTCGACGATTAAGCGTTCTGTGGACGATTTGAAACTCTTCGATGATCAGCGCCGAAAAAGTGCCAGGATCATTTGATTTTTGTTATCGCCGTGGAGTGGATTTCGCCAGTTAAGCACCGCGTGCAAAAGCGATGACCTAAGTAGCAACCAAGGAGGAATGCTTCAGAAAAATTGCAGTCTTCCTTTACACTTGACTTGTATCACCATGAGAGTTGCCTGATAAAACTGGCACTTGAAAAGTTGAACCGAAGACAACAGTTGCTCAACCGTGAAGCTAACTCAAAAGTAATTTGCTAACGGTGGAATTTGTGACATCGCGCTCCAGTCCAAAGACCCTCTTATTTCAAGAAAAACAAAATGGATTGTATCTGCGCCCAAAGAATTATGACTGACTAACAGGAGAATTCTCAGCAATTAATGTAGAAGTTTAGGCCAATTCTTTCCTTCGAATTCGCATCTGTAGATTACTTTTTCGCGAGAAAACAATGGCTGGGCTCGGCGTTACAAAACATAGCAGGAAATCATCACACTAACTGACGGACAAAACAACCACAGTATAGTATTTATTCAGACAAACGCATTTCGGGGAAAAACTTGAAAAACTAGAAATTTGATTAATATTGAGTCATTTAGCCGAAATAAGAACCTTAACGCTCAAAAAAATTGGCTAAAGAAAACGAATCCTGTCAAAACTACAGACTGCAGGTATGTAGTTAATCATTACGCATGTAACAGACCAGCTCTCTTATAAATGTGAGACAAGCAACCAAAATTAAGATTAACATAGTAAGAGTTTAAAACTCTCCACAGTATAATCTACCCGCTAGAAAGAAAAGAAAGAAAATCTCTGAGGGATGAAAACGCCAAAGTCACGTTTCACTAGCTTATGATTTTGTTTGGCCTGTCAGCACCGGATTTCCAGCTGTTTCATGAAGTACAATACCAGTGTCATTTGGTCGTTGTGATTGGCTCTTCCCACCGTCGGCGCGCGAAGTCTCCCCTGGGAACCGTTCTAATTATAAATCTACTCGGGAAAGGGTTGACTCCAAAGGCATGTATGGGAGATGGAGGCTCCATTTGATAGGCTCCTGAAGTGAACAATGTTTCTATTTGTTGAGGCGATCTATAAATAGCATATTCCTTTCTTTTAAGGAAAGACTTTTCACACCCATGGAGAGAATTAGGCAACGTACAAGTTGAAGCTTTTCCCGTGGGGACCGTGGGAGGGCATTGTTTCTGCAGCTCCCGCGTAGGCTAACTGTATTTAGATGAGCATGCAGCGTAGATATAGGGCCAATAACTCCACGCAATAATTTTGTGTTCGTTGCAAATCAACTTTTAAATCTGTTGGCCAGACGACCTGAAGTGACCTGTCCCCTCCCCACAAAAATCGGCCTCATTGAAAGAAGAGTGGAACACGCAAAGCATTCTGGGAGTTCCGTCTGCCCTTTTGTCTTTTGTTTTGATATAGAAAGGATGTGCTTCTCATTTCTTGAATAGTGTATGCTCTCGCGGGCAGCATAATAACGAATTCGATATTTTACGACGTTTCGAGGCTAAAAGAGTGTAAACGTAATTTGATCAGCCCTGCTATGTAGCTTGTTTTGAAACGCTTTTTTCACTCCGGTTATATGCCACCCTTAGCTTGTGAGAAAATTATTGCGTCATTGCAGCGGGAAAACTCGTCACGTGAACTGAGAACTGAACTTTGTACAAGAGTCTAGGAACTGTGTTGTCGTTCGGGGTCGTGGAACTGATCGAGTGTGTAGATTGAGTTTAGATCATCGAAAATTTTCGCGAATTGATGTAGATGAATTCTTTGAGTGTAGAACAGAGTACAGAATTCTAAAATATGAACATGTGAAGAAATATACTCTCAAGGGAGTGAAGAATTAAAACTTAATGGAACTGGTTCTAACACACATAATTTGTGACACCCCATTTATAAACCCTCCTAAAACCCCTTACGAAGTTGTATCAGGGCATATCAGCGGAAGTTTACGGTATTTGAATGGATAGTTCACGATTTCAGTCATAACTGTCTCTTCAGCGTCACATGCTACTGGGTTAATTTTAAGAGTTGATTCTTAATTTATGTGAAGGCTAAGTAATCAGTGTTAAAAAACAATTTAAACGTCACAGTTTTAACTAGTCTCCGTTTATGCATTTTACTCACAACGCCGCTTTACGTAATTTGCATTTGATATTAAAATAAACGCAGACTAAAATTGTCACTTGTGTATTCTTGGGGCTTTCTTAGGTTTTGTTTTTCTTGCAAACTCACCTCTAATAAAATCGAAAATAAAATTATTTCATCCTAACTTTTCGGAAAAAGGATTACACATTCTCGCACCTGCTAACGGATTAAAAAATTCCGCTTGGTGGATGCTGAGGAGGTAAGAGACATAATCGAGGGAAACTGTAAAATCTTTACATCGAATACGCATACAGTACAAATCCTCGAATTTTTTTTACTAAATAACACCTATTTCTAGCTTCAAAAAACCTGAAAGTAAAAAAAGACCTACGATACGTATATATAAAGGAGAGAATCGACATGACACTACTTTCTTGATTAATATAACGTTCAGAAAAAAATAAACAAATAAAAAAATAAGAGGGTAAAGATATGCTTCGTATAATGAAGGGAATATGAAAAGCACAGAAATTAAACCAACTAACAGAATATATGTCTGAGAGTGTCTTTCACCGCCCTTCTGACTTCTCTGATCTTCCAGCAGTACAACAACGGGTTTAATGAAGAATTTAGGTAGATAACAGTAACCCCGAATTGTCTAGGAAGGTAATATGGTAAAGATAATTTTCCTTGAGGTGTTACAGTTACCACAACATTATACGGCAGATAACAAACAACTAACGTTAGTTGTAGCCACAATGCACTTGAAGCTGCCTTTCTATATCGAGCCAAGTTAAATGGAGTTGCTTGCGTTGACTGTGCTTGCGAGACGTGATCCTGTGGCTGAATGTGGTTGTGACGTAGAGTAAGAAAAATCTTCGTTTACGAAAAGATGTGTTTTACTACGGGCTTTTAAAATTCTAAAAGATCTCTCAGTTCTTTGTATAATCTTCCTTATTCTACCGAACAAAGGCATTATGTGTTTTTTTGGTCCAATGGATCGTAAGTTTTGCCAACGCCGGTTTTAACTGCATTGTAATATTACTCACAAGAACAATATCTGTGTAGTTTCCCACAATTCATCCTTTTCAACTTTGTCGTTACGGAAATTTCTTGATTTGTTTTTTTAGCTGGTTAAGAAATAATCTTAAGTCATTTTGTTAAAAATGTTAATTTTTTTTATTGTCTACTGGAATCAGTGAGTGTAACTTACGCTCGTCGCTTGATCGTTTGTTGGGCACTATGATTGCACGATTTCATCAACTCCTTTGGGATCTAGTTTTGAGAAACGTGAAAACATCAAAGGTAGCAAAAGTTCATCAATTTTCAAAACATGCCTGGCAACAGGAGCCTTTTTTAGGACAGAGGATTATCGACAGATATTTGAACGCCGAATAGTTCCCAACAGTCATAACAGTTTCTTCATTCACTGTTCATTGTCAGCGAGAAAGCCAGGTTCACCTTCTTTTGAAGCAATTAGGCGTGTTTTTTTTTTAAATTTTTGATAGAACTAACCAATCAAAAGAAAAAAATTAAATACGTAACAGGTTTAACCAGTTTTCAATTTTACATCTTGACTGTATTTTGCTCGCACCACGTTTTTCCGTATCCGTATTTTGCATAGGGAGTAAAATTGTTGTGAGTTCTGAAGGTCATTTTTTTTGGTGTGGCTTTTCGAACTAACTCGCTTGTAAATTCTTCCCGTATAGCAACCATAATATATTAACAGTCTCATGTCTTTCTGCCATATGAGTTAAACCGACGAACAGGAAACTTGTCTGAGTGTGTCTTTCACCACTTGTCTGACCTCTTTGATTTTCCAGCAATATAGGAATGGGTTTAATGTTGAGTTTAAGTAAATAACAGTAGCCCCAAATTGTCGAGCAAGGTAATACGGCAAAGGTAATTCTCTTTTAGGCGTCAAGACTACCGCAACAACGTACGGCAGATAACAAACAACTATTGTTACTTGTATCCACAGTGCACTGGATACTGCCTTTCTGTATCGCGCCATGTTCATTGACGTTGGTTGGGTTGACTGTGCTTTTGAGTCGTGTTCCAGTGGCTGAATTTGGTTTTTACGCAGAGTAATGAAAATTTTGGTATAAGACAAGATTGATGTGATCAAGAAGAGTATTATACCTATATTGCCAATCCAGGAAGTTACAAATGGGTTCACAAAGTACATTGTTGCAGCGACGATGGAAATAGTCCAAAAGACTGTTATCGTTAAATATGTTCTCTTCAAAGTTACAACTTGTTTGTATCTGAGCCCTAGCAACAGGGCAAGAAGTCTGTCTAAGCTTACTAAAGTTATCGTCATTAAGGACACTGCACAAAGAACATATCCTATGACATATGCTGATACGAAGACGTAGCGACAAATATCCCATCTTTCTGTCGCCTCAGATATCCAATAAGTAACCATAAGAGGTTCCAAGATGACACCAACACAAAGATCAGTTATCGCTAGGTTACGATACAGGAGTTTGGACGGCGGATGAAGTGAAGTTTCCTTGTGTAGAGCTGCTAGAATCATAGTGTTCCCCAGAAATGTAGGAATGGACAGGAAGATATTTATCACAGACAAAATCATGAAGCAATTGTTCACCTTTCCAGCCGCCAGTTCTTTGGAACAATAAAGTTGTTCGATTGTTTTGTAGTTTCCTTCTCCAGTTAAATTTGTTACCACCATTTTGCTAGAGTTTGAATAGGTTTTCTTGAACGAGCACCTGTCCAACACCTCAAACGCGTCCTTTGGCATAGAATTAACTAGCAGCGCAGGTGGTACGTTCTCGGTTTGTTTAATTTCCTGCTCGACGATTGTTTGAAATAATGTAAATTCTTATGACATGGCAGACAACATCGGATATATAGATGGAAATATTATGGGCCAACCGAATTTGCCAGCCGCTAAAATCCACGTGCGATCTGCGCGCTGTGCGCGCGCGACAAAGTTTGAAACCTCGCTTTCGCTAAGAGCAAGTCACAATAGTAGGTTAGAGACTGCCATTGACAAGTTATCAATGCTCTGTAATTTGAATGAAAAGAAGAGAGGCGTTCTAAACTTCCTATATGAAGGGGGCAACATTTGTCAATGAAAGTAAAACCTAATGCTCCCGTTTTTGTACCGGGGGTATTCCCAGCTGTACATGTAATGGACAGAAATATGTTTATCACGAAACTAAGGCTGTTTAGTTTTCCAGTTAATTCTACTGAGCAATTATATGAAGTGTTTAATTTTAGTTTTCTTGCGTCTAGTGAACAGTAATGTACCGTAATATCCGATAATAATCATAGAACAAAAAAATTGAGGCTTGATGTTGTTATTTCAATTTACCGCAGTTCGGCTCATTAAAAATTACTACTTTCTATAACGTCATGTTACAATTTACGCTAGCTTGGTTATTATAATCCTGGACAAGTGTTATTACAGCTAACGACAGATATCACAGTTGGTGTAACTTTACTTCGGATTTTTTTTTAAGGTACACAACTCCAACAGAGTTGGATTTTGAAGTCCAGTCCGGCTCACTGGAATACCTATTATTTAACAGGTGATGCAAAGAGCTGACAGAGTCAGATTAAGTGAAAATACTGTTAAGCTCCATGGAAACGAAAGCAACATTGTTGGATATTACGTGTTGCGTGTTGATGCGAGTTGTTGCGCAAAATTTGAAACTTGTCAAATTTTTGAGCCAACAACTCCCAACATTTCTGCTGTTCCGTGATCGCCGAAGCATAGCGCAACAATGTTGGATCCGTTTGCACAGCTCTTCCAATTTGTTGGGGCCACGCGCGACATTACACGTGGTTTAGAAAGGCTTATGGGTTGTTTTTTCTCACGATGCACTGCCAACACGGACACAACAAGTCCCAACATTGTTGGCCCAACAATGTTGGGAGTTGTTGCGTTTGTTTGCACGTAGCTTGAGATGGGGTCTATGGTTCCTTAGACTTATCCGAAAAGTTTAGATTGTCTAATGTCTAACTATTTGTTGCGGAAATCAAACAAATGTAGGAATTTCTCCTCACTTGTTTTATACCCTTGGGAATCAAGCCCAAGCCTAGCTCTCTCCACATTCTGATGACCCAACCAACTAACCAGATGAGTGTTAAATTTTCAAGGGCCGGAAACATGATTGTAAGTATATAGTTAAACCTTCTTTACACGCCACCAAAGGGACAGAGCCAAGCGTGCAAATACAAAGGTGTCCACCATTGCTTCATTGTTCATTTGACGCCGGCTATTATTAAACTTTCAGCTTCTTGGGAAGATTAATTTTCACAAACAAAAGAAAATTAAAAGTAGGACAAATTCTACGCAATTAGGAGACGTGACTGGCAACTGAAGATGTTTTAGGATAATTATCATCAGCTATTTGAACGGATAGTTCCCGACAGTCATAACTTAACAGGTTTCACCTGAGGCAATTTAAAGCTGATTTTTAATTTATATGGAAACTAAGTAATCAGTGGAATTGAAAAAAAGCAAAAACAGTTAGCGCCTCAAGGTTAAAGAGGGACCAAAATTGTCATTTTTGTCACTTTTCCAACTCACTTGCAAATTCGCTTCTTTTAGTAATAAAAAACCTATTAACAGAAGTCGTTTCGCCTAAATTTTTTGCAAAACGGATTATCTGTTGGCACCTGTTTTATTACGGAAAGAAAACTCCGCATTGTGGATAGTTATTTACTAAAAACGCTTCAAATATGTACATTTGCGGAAAGAATCGACGTAAACGTCTTTTTTAATCATTTTGCCCAAACTGTTTCACCGTTGATGCTAATTGTAAAACAGGTAGCGCCAAGCAAAAACAGTAGAAAAAGTGAAAACAAAATGACAAAAAAAAAAATGAGCAAAGACAGGAGAGGACAACCTTTACCGAACAATAGCTTTATATTCAGTACGAAATATACTGAAATTAAACAAACAAACAGGAAACCTGTCTGAGTGTTTCTTTGACCGCTTGTCTAACTTCTTTGATCTTTCAGCAGTACAACAACGGGTTTAGCGACGAGTTTAGGAATAAAATAGTAACCCCAAATTTTCGAGCAAGGTAAGTTGGAAATGGTAACTCTCCAAGAGGCGTTAGAACTACTGCAGCAAAATACGGCAGATAACAAACAACTAAGGTTACTTGTACCCTCAGTGCACTTGATGCTGCCTTTCTGTATCGAGCCATGTTCAGTGGAGTTGCTTGGGTTGACTGTGGTTTGGAGATGTTTTCCTGTGGCTGAATTAGGTTGTGACGCAGAGTGAGGAACATTTTCGTATAAGACAAGGTGGACGTGACGAGACACAGTGATTTAACTATGTTCCTCCACCAAAAGGCTACAAGGGGGTTCACATTGTAAATTTCCCCAAAGACAATGGAGATAGCCCAAATGATGGTTATAACTACGTATGTTCTTTTCAAAGTTACGTCTTGTCCGTATCTAAGCCCCAGCAACAAGGCGAAAAGTCTGTCAATGCTTATTGCAGTTATTGTCAACAGAGACAATAAAAACAGAACATGGCCTTTTACATATGTTAAGTATATGGTGTATTGACAAATATCCGACAGTTGCATCGCCTGAGATATCCAATATGTAACAGCAATTGGCTCCATGATGATACCAACACAGAGATCAGTTATCGCTAAGTTACGATACAGGAGTGTGGATGGCGGATGAAGAGAAGATTCTTTGCGCAGAGCAACTAGAATCAGAGTGTTCCCCAGAAATGCCATAATGGACAGAAACATATTTATCACGGACAGAAAAATTAAATAGGTGTGTACATTTTCACTTAATTCTGCTGAGCAATATTGGTGTTCGATCGTTTTGTTGTTTCCTTCTCCGGTTAAGTTTGTTAACATCATGTTGCCGCATTTTTCGTAAGCTGTGTGGTTTTCTGATAACAGCAGCTGTCTAATATCGCAAAACTATCTGAGCGCATCTCAGCGGCGAAGGCCCGGCCGGTTTCGAGCAGTTGAAGATGGTTTTCAGTTAGTTTTTCTAATTACAAGTGATTGACTGACATAATTTAAATATCTTGTTATCTATGCCCCTCAGGGCTTTTCAGGGATATTTACAACTGTAACAGTCGGTGGGAGACTTTGTGGTGCAGATTACAATTAGTGGACTAATGACTTATTAATGCTGTCTGATGGATGTGAAATGAGGTAGACACTAGGGTTGGTCAATGCTAGAGATTTTGTTACATTCAGTTTGTTGTTTTTTTCTCTAGTTTTTTTTTTCTAGATTTTGTGATTGGGCGTGGCGGGGCCGGGCGGGGAGAAATGACTCTCCTATGCTAATAAATATAGAGAAATAAACTTGAAAAATTAATGAAGAAAACACAAGCACCCAACCGAAAGGATCCTTAGCTTCACCGTGTGAATGCTAATAGCCTCTCCTATCCTGTCCCCAGAACTGTTAAGTAGCAAACTAAAATTCAGAGTTCAAATAGCGCAATCCTCCCTTTTTTGTAAAATCTTTTGCTTTTTATGATGGAAGTCTTCATTTATTAGTTGCAGAAAATAGACCTAAATTACCGAAGTAATTACGTAGACTTAGGCCACATGAGTTGAACGTTATAATTGCTAGAAAGAAAAGCTTTGTTTAACAGTTTATGTTTTAAGAATCTCCAGGTATTTGACTTGCGTTTTGTGCCCAGTGAGGCAGGAAGTTGATTATTATTGTGGTTGGTATTAGGGTGTGGCAATCGAATTTACCTGTGAAGGTTGTAGATTTGAACAAATTACTTCAAATTTGTGTCAACTATGATAACCTTGGTGAAAATTATGTTTCTGATTAAGAAGTGCAGGTATCTAATAAACTTTAAGATAGAAGAATATATGTTAACTTATTTTGTAATACCACCTATGGTTCATGTTTGCAATTGCGGATCTCGGCCGTTTAATTTAATTCCTACCTTCATCTGTCTTTTGAACTCCCACTTGCCAAAGGAAAACAGTTGGACATGAATATTTACTAACCGTCAATTACTGACCATCTCCTAACGTATTTGTTTCCTTAGTTTAGAAATTGTCGAAAGGAAGCCATTAGAGCTGATTTTTAATTTAGCATGCGTCGCTGATGTACTTTAACCCCAGTTGGTAAGGTCTGCGAAACGGCGCCAAATCCTTGTTCTGGGCCCCAGTGGACTCAACGAATTACCAGAAATGTATTTCGAATATCCTTTCAACCTGATTGGCAAATCGACAATTGCTTTTTCAACAGGCCAATCATGGTGCGTACTCAAATCCTGCTACAAGGACTTCGACGACGGAAATGAGAAAATATAAAAGAAGAGCAGGTTTAATAAACAAAACAAAAACTCTGAAGCGGGAGCACACTTTTTGGCAGATTTCTTTGCCTTTAGCGCGGGACTAACGTTGTCGAACTCAATTTGATCGGAATGGCAATGTGATCGTCGCTTTACTCTAAAAATTAATCGTCGTTTCATCTTAAAAAGCTAAAACAAAAGTAATTACCAACAGAGAAACTAAAGAACATCACACTCCAGTCCAAAGACTCACTTATCTCAAGAAAAACAAGATGGGCCAAATTAGACAGTTTCAACCCATCTTTGTGTCGTTTGTCATCAATTCATTTGCATTATGTCAAGGCCTTGGCACTTGTCCGAATTCCTTAACAGGGCCTCTCTGTTGTTCAAGCTAACTGTAAGATCATAATTAACACTACTAAAAACTATAATCATGTTTGGCCTGTCAACACTTTTTTCAAATCATACCGATCACAAACTGCAAAAGAGACAAGCCAATCAAAAACATCAACAGATGTCCTTGCGACTCTCCGAACACGATGATGTGCACAAATTTGCAGACACTCTGTACAGGCGGTTTAGAGTATCTGCAATGCAGACTAATCTTTCCCATAAAAACAGTAGTAAAATGCTCCATTAAGTGTCTAAGGACGTATTCAACAAGACTTCAATTATGTAGTTGATTTTTCATTAGAGCGGTTTTCATTTGAGTGTCGAAAAGTAATTGGTTTTGCACTTTCTACACGATGCGATTGGCTTAAAAGATTCGCGCCACCTTTTCATCCAATCAGAAGTAAAACCAAAGCCAATTGTGACTCGCGCTTTGCGTCAGCCACATGTAATTACTTCGAGTTTTGATTGGTTCAATGTATTGTCTGTGTCCTATGTGATTGGCCAGAGCAATTACTTTGGTTTTGGTTTTACGACACTCAAACGAAAACCACTCTATTCATGTTCATTGCCTGGTTATATCACGACAGCAGTTCGCTTGCCTGGGCCACTTCTTGCTTGGCTTTGTTAATGATTTAATTGGTTGCCTGGATCCTTGCTCATTGGGGCATTTTTTCAGTTTTGTCAGTATTCCTGGGTCTTTTGTTGTTTTGATTTTTGCCCCCATTTGATCATCCTGCCCTTGAAATACGGAGTACCCCCCCCGTCGACCCCGAATCTTCTGTGTCTTTAAGACCACAAATTTTAAAACGACCATTACACAGTAGGAGCACAAACCTTGTCGTTTTCGTACACTATACTTTCCGAATGATCTTCATGAATGTCGAATCCTCAGGCTTGTACTTCTCCGCATCCTCGGAGACCCATGGGTCAGTTGGGGTCAGTTGGGCCGGGAGAAAAGGCGCGACGAATGTTTTCAAGCACGGGCGGAAGAGTGCTTGAAAACGTTCGTCTCGCCTTTTCTTTTATGGAGACGATCTGCCCGAAAATCTGTTCAAAATCATCGCTCAAGAGCGCAAAAAGTCCACTTCCGGTTGACATCCGTCCCTCAAAATCGACGCTGCTTTTCAAATCATCTATCAACAATCGTTATTCAAAAAAACTGGGAAATACTGTGCACCGCACGATCCACAGAGAATCCTCGGAAGCTATTGATCACCACAAATACCTTGGAGTTGAGCTATCCAGTGATCTAAATTGCTAGCATTATAGGCAAAAGGCGAACAAATCCCTTGGCGTTATAAGAAGTAACTTAAGTAAGTGTCAAGAAAACTTAAAAGAAAAGCTATCGTGCTTTAGTTAGACCACAACGTAAATATATGAATGTTGCGCATGGGATCCGCACATTCAAAAACAGATAAAGGACATTTAGAGTGCGCACGACCGGCACGTTTTTTAAAAAATGAATATAGCACAACTCCTGGAACTTTTACGAAAATTTTGAATGATTTGAAATGGCCAACAATCGGGAAGTTTCTTAAGGTTAATCATTTGCATGTAGTTCTGATCGCACTCCGTTACGCTAAAAAAAGGAACAAATATGTAAATCATTATACTTCACAGTTGTTTTGAATACATTAGATTCTCATTATTTTTACGAGAACCAAAATAGAACAATGAGTCATCTATATTCACCCATGCGCAAATAACCCCAAAATGATTTTTGAAATTTCCTAACGGCATCGTAGTTTTGAGCTAGTCTCTCCTGAACGATCATGGATCGCTTGTGTTTAACGATACCTGATGAAAGTTACTGCTGCTAAAACTGTTCACTCTATTGCAAGGTGCATGGAATAACATTAGAACTGTATTCCAACAACACAGTGAAGAAATTCAGCTTGCGAATCAATATGGAACTGATTTGAAAGTGTAAGTGCTACAGCTATTGCTATATCTCTTGCCTTTCTCTTGTCTGAACGAATTGCCAGAGAGCTGCCAAGTGCACACTATTTAGACTGTGAACTTCTTTCTCAACTGAAACCGTTCAGAGTGTTTTATTTTAATCGACAGTGGTATGTTTTTCCTTTTTCTTTTCGCTCAGCTTTGAGAAGTAAAATTCAGTGCATGGTTGAGTGGTGAAGAACGTAACGAAGAGAGTTATCAGCTCATGGTAGAAAAGCAGCAAGAGATTTGTGGAGGTAACTATCCAAGTAAAAGGTCACCTTAACCCAGGACAATCATAAACTGACAGAAGGATCATGAAAAATGCTTTTAATATGGTGATAGAAAGCTTGTCAGTTTTTTGGTAGGATACCTGAGGTTACTATAACTTTAGTTATGTTGGACCCGGTAACGAGTTGAAGTATGATTGATTTTCTCTGGACAATATTTGCTCCTGAGCGATTTTACATTAGGCAATATCATGATACTAATTACTTTTCCGAGCATTATCCCAATGAGCAAATAGACTGCTTTATAAAGTTGTTATCACCTGATATACTTACTTCAAGGTTTTTTTAAAAGTTAAACACATAAGAGCAAAATGGGATATGGGTGTTAGTGAATAAATTAAGAGCAGAAATTATATTGTGACAAGTTCTCTTCTTAGTCTGCAACCATTCGCTAAAATGAAAATCATTTCCTTTTCGTTTACTGACGAGAGTCGTCCAAATTTGTGTTGTTTGTGTTGTTGGGCTCAGTATCATCCCTTCAAATCAACTCTTTCCTTTTCAAAGTGAATGTCTCGGCCAAATAAAGCATTTAGAGGGCACTCAGGCCCGCGAACAGAACTTTTAAGATACTTGGATTTTCTCCCAGGGTTATTCCCTTTTATAAAATAACTGAGATAGTACGCGTGATCTGATTGGTCAAAAACCTATGGTTTATTATACCGGTAAACCCATAGAAAAAGGCATCCGGACCACGAGCCATAAACAAAACCGGCTATTGATCTGCAAACGATTTTAGAAAGGCTAAAAAACAGAACAAGTTACTTACCCATCCCTTCTTAATATTAAAAGCGTTGGTTTTCACATTTTATTACTGAGCGTCACAATTCGCTACTGCCATAGCTTTAGAAGTTATAAAGTACAAAGCTGGAAAACAGTTTACATTTCACGACGATGCCAAATCGCAGAGAAAGACAACAACTGTGTGAATTTCTGGTGTACAAAGTCTCTAGGAAAACTTAACAATGTGCCAACCAGCAACAAAACGGATAGTTTTAGCATTCTTGATTTATTTTATTTCAAAATTAAATTCCTTAATCAAAGAAATTGTTTCAAAAAGAGATCTCTGATCAAGATATGGTACAAAATCGGCCGCTGGAGGTTGTAAACAAGCTGCCAACGATGATGAAAGATGTCAGAGTTTCGGGCTAGTTTTTTCCAACATTTGCACAAATTATTCGATGATATCGATGCCATGACCTACCTCACACCACCTGACTTCACAAATCGACAAATATTAACGCCAATATGTGGCTACGGCAAAGAAACCTTTCTCCACCACTGACATATTTCCATCGGTCGCTGTACGTGCATATAAAGTTACATGCGACAACTTCGCAAATGCAGCCACGTCGTTACCGCAGCATTTCTTGATCATAATAAAGTCCAGGAAACAGATCTTAAACCACTGCGGCTTGTAAAAAGTGAATGAAGTCCTCCATTACAATAGCTGCCAGTTTCCTCTGTAAGCACGAAATTCTTACGGATCGACTCAACAAAATACAGCTGCGTACAGTCTGATGTTCAATCAATTTCTACTTCTGTAGTAAACAAACCATGAACGTATTCTTTCATTGTACGTTCGCATGAATATGTGTTGACTTTTCCTGTAAAACAGCTTTCATAAGTTATCATGTAATGAGTGCAAAAACTCGTGTTTTGAAGTGCTGCTGTTTGTTGTTTGACTGAACTGAGTTTTGAGAAAGTTTAGCGCTATTAAATCGTGAGTCGTGATTGGCTTATGATGACTTTAGAGAGAAGACATGACTTGATCACGGTACTAAAATCATATTTTTTACCTAAAAGACTCCATTTTATTAAAAGTTATTTTATAAAAGCAATAGACCACACTTTCTATGGGTCTACCGGCGTGATAACCCACTTGGGATGTTGGGAGAACACTCGAAAAGCTTGTAAATCACTCGCCTTCGGCTCGTGATTTACAAGCTTTTCTCGTGTTCTCCCAACATCCCGCGTGGGTTATCACGCCGGTAAACCCATAGAAAGTGTGGTCTATTGCTTAAATATACACCGTAAGCCACATAGGTATGTGCCACCCAAAAGGATATGGTTTTTGCGCTTTTTCGGTCTAAAAACGAGCATACACTTTGCTCCTTTTGGTTTGGAATTGGGTGTGGTTTTCGAGGAAAAATATGCCGTGTAAGAACGCATTTGTCGTTTCAATTCCAAATTAATGAATAAGAAAGAAAAACAAATATTTGCGAATTCTTTGACATAATTTCTGCCTAGAGGCCAGGACTGAAAAAAGACGTGGAAAATGACAATTTTTTTGGTATAAAATAAGGCCAGGAGTTAAAGAACCGGGCTGCTCAACCCCTCTAAAAATTCCCGGGCCCCCCCCCCCCCCCCAACGAAATTTTCTTCAAGTAGTAAATAATGCAAAAAACGGTCACGGTTTAAGTACTAGGGCTACACGGGGAAAACTTGCGGACCGAAAACGAAATGATTTTAAAACGCAAGTGCCTGTAACAACACCTGCAGCTCCCCTTAGCTTAACACCATCTTTCTCTTTCCTTGCAATTCTTACAACTTACTTCAATAAATTTACGACTATATATCTTTCTCAGTCCAACACATAAGACAAAAACAAATTTCCTCGCTTTGAGTTAGATAATCAATGAAGGGTTAGGAATTATGTACTAGCTAAGGAAACACGGCTTGTGTTAGGTAATCACTGATCTTAAAAGCCTATTACGATAAGATTTTGGCTGCCAGATAAAGAGTATTCTAAACAAGTCGTATCCGACTTCTTCTCTAAAGAGTTCTTTGTTATGCTTTAACTATTTCTTTTTGTCTTGTTCACTCATGTAGGCGAACAATCTAACAGAAGTACAGTCATTAATTGTAAAGTGCGGACCCAACTAAACCAGACGATTTTTAAAACGGTAAGTACTTGTAACAACCCCGATCCCGATCTTTTGTTAGTGACTTTATGAACTGACTACTCAGGATCTTGCCGTTACAGTTCAGACTACAGACTTGGCAAAATGGCTCATTTGGTAACTCCTTCTTTCTTTACTTTTTACGCAGTCATCCAGGCGAACTCAAAATCAGTCAAAATCGCTGAAAAGACCTTTTTGGAGGCAAAAAGACAACAATATACACTAGGTAAGGTACTAGTACACTGTTTATTTAACATTAATCTATATAAATTACATAGTTGGCGATATATTTCTACTGTAAAGATGAATTCCAAGCAAACTCATTTACCAACAAGACGACTGTGTGGGTAGCCTGTGGTATAAAACCATGAAGGAATCCTCGTCCCAGGGTCTACTAGGGTGCTTACCATTTGACAGAAAAATCCGGTTGGGGTGTCGAAAGCATAATGGTAAGCGATTTACCAGTTTACCGTAGAAATGCCACATCCGTTAGGGTTTGAATTAAAAAAAAAGGGCAAATTTGTGTAGCGTGAGTCTGGAACCGAGAAGGAACAAGAAATTGGTTAATGGTAAGCAACATTCCGTTTGGTTCGTACCAACCGGAATGAAGGGACTACCTCAAAACGTACTCCTCAATTTTCGGTTCGAATTTCCGAAAAGTGACCTTACCATTTAGCTTCCATCCGGAATTTCCGACATTTTCTGTCAAATGGTAAGCACCCCTGGTGTCCCGGCTAATATGGCGGCGCAGGGCTGTTGATTTGGATCTTCCAACGCCCACAGAGTCAGTCAGTGTAGCAATGCAAACCTAATTTAACTTAATAGTACCTACAACACTTTCAAGAAAGGACTCTGCAATGTAAAAACAGAAACACCAAAGACGTCCATAGAATTAGAAGGTCAGGACAGACATAAAGGTATACATATTTACAGGGACACCCAACGACGATTTCCTCCTTATTGCATTGAAATTATGAAGTAATTCTCGTTGTGGAGTAGATGGCTAGGATGTAAAAGTAGGCGGTTATTGCAGGTTTTCACTTTCGCACCTTCCTGTAGTTCCCCAAAAAGTAGGCGGCTCAAAACTCGAAGTAGCCAGTTTTTAGTTGGCTGCCTGTACTTAATCCGTGTGACTTAATACTGCTTAATAAGAACCCAGACTACAATACTTTTAAATTTCCAGAAATCAGTCCTTCTGACAGGGTGCGGGTAAAAAATAAAAATTGTGCGCGATTTTGGGGGCAAATTGTGCGGGGAAAAACACCGATTGTGCGGGAATTGTGCGGGATTGCGCAATCTTTCGACCTACCAAATATTCCGTGATTGTGAGCAAGAGCTCCCTGAAAAATACACTGCCACGTACTGCATCGATTGCTCTTTCCAGTGATATAAGTTGACCAGACCTTTTTCAGCCTTAATTTATTTGAGGTATATTATAAATATAACGTGGATCAAAACTTAAGATGATGCAGTTAGTCTTGTTGTCTTACAGAGCTGCCAGAGCGCCTCCGAGACCAAAATCAAATCAGTTGAGCAATAAGAGTCATAAGATCCGCATCGAACACGTAACGCACGAACGCCAGTGTTGAGTTTGTAAATTGTAAAATTTAACCTCAAATTGTCAAAATACCTGTGTTAAAACAGTGCTCGCTATCTTTGTCGGACATTTTGAAGCTTTCTGCAATGTCGGAACACCGAAGACAAATGAAAAAAGCCAAAGAAAAGAGTCTGTAAACAAGCGGCCATCTTGGTTAACTTAGTAACCAGGCTAAAAAAACATGTGCTCGAGAAATTTACACGGCTACCAA